TTTTCTGGAAGCGGCTGGATGTTTAACAATTATTTTTAACCTTGATATTGTCACTCTATCTTATTGTTATGTTAAATTGTGTATATTCTAAGTTAACATAAGAACATAAGAGACGCCAATGTTGGATCAGGCCAAAGGCCCATCCAGTCCAACACTGTCACACAGTGGCCAAAAATACCAGGTGCCATCAGGAGGTCCACCAGTGGGGCCAGGACATTAGAAGTTGCAAGCCCATTTGGGCTAGTAACACACAGTATACATTCTAAAAATAAATTTATGACATTTTTAATTTAAGCTTTTTTTCTGGAATAATGCTGCTGTTTTGTCTCCTTTGCTGCTGCTGTTTGTTTTTATTTTGTTTTCCATTGCTATAAGTATGCTGCAGACTTACATGAGTTTTGCTGTGGACTCTCCTATAGAATCTTAGGATCTGTAGTTCATAGAGGTTCTAACCTCTATTATAGTTACCAACATGGATTTGTTTTTGTTTTTTAAGTCTGTAGTATGCCTCGAGTGTCTTTGGACAGAAAGACGATAAATAAGCAGTATAACTAAATGCTAGCCTATCCTTTAGCTAAAGGAGAAAAGCGAGTATGCAAATCCATCTTTCATTGCTACGGAGAAAGAGAGAAAAGAAGCACTGAGAATGCCTATTTTCTAGCCTTTTATAGAAAGAGATGTTTCTTTTGCATCAACATAGAAATAGTAAATTACCTTGCTTTCTCAGACATGCTGATGTCTTGTGATCTAGAATAAAATGAATATTAAGATGACTAAAATGCATCTTTAGACAGTGTTATGTAATTACTACCCTTGTCCCAAAAGAGGACTGGCTCTGAAAGGGGAATTCCATTCTTTATTAACATTATGTTCTTATCAAGGACACCGTAGGTTTGAAACAATAATGATTTGGGTTAAACTCCATAGGTGTCTACCATGAACTGCCTCAGAATGGCTGAACTGAGTCTGTTCTGGGGGGCAGCTAGAGAATGGGGTAGGAGGTCAAGTAATTAGTCCAAAAATATGATTGCATAAATCAGGATCTAAATAGAAGGTTATTTTGGGAAGTGAATAATCAGTAAGAAAAAAATACAAGAGATTATGCTTCATCCAAGCTATTTTCCACTATGGAACAAGAGCTCTGCAGTCCCCTTAATTTTTTTTAAA